TTATGGGAATAAATTCGTAATTGGGAGAGGAGTATCAGCCTGTGGCCCGAATCATAATGAAGAATGTGGAGCATCTTGTTAACTTCTAATCTTGTATAGTTCTTTACAAATAATGAAATACTTAACCTTTTGGCTCACCAGCACCACTTTGTCATAAGTACCAATCAAACAATGAGATTGGTTCAGGGTCCAGAAGAGTGATACTCTGGCTACCAGACGTTCTCCTTGCTGCTTATTTCCTAAAGAAATCTTTCTTCTTTCCATATTCTCATAATATTTTGACTTTATTCTCAATTATGACTTTAATTGTGTAATTTTATGACTTTATTATTGTAAGATTGTGACATTATTCCTGAAACCTCTGAATTAGTTTTCTTAAATATGACCCTATTACTTTTCCACTATTTGTTGAGCAACATTTATTTCTCGTCCCCTGGCAACATAAACACCCTTTTGAGAAGGAGAACCCTGATGGGAATCCACCATGGGTCACTACCCGTGCTTGGTGTGAATACAGCCTGTCAGCAATCTGTCTGTCAGAATTTAGAAACCAGACTCTCTGCTGCACAAATAAAATGGAAAATGCATCATGTTATTCTTAAATTGTAAAGTATAAGTCTAGTGGAAATGATTGGCTGCTCCGTCCTCCCTGTGACCATGAGACAGGGACAAAAGCAGACTTCCCTTAGGCAGGAGCTAATATGGTGAACTGGACCGTTGATGCCTGTCTCCCCTTATGTCCTCTTTCCACCCTGTCCTCCTGCCCCACCCGCCTGCCTGACGAACAGTACATCCATTCAGCGGGATTGATCCACAGAGTGAGTGCCTCCCTCTTTGCTCTTCCTGTCTGGGAGATTGTTGCAGTGTACCTGATTTAAAATGAAGAATCTCTTCTAGCCTTCTAACGTGCAGCTTCGTCTGTACATGAATCTTTCAGCCACACACTCGTTAGAATACATCTTTATTCTAATCATGCTTCGCTCCTCCTTTGTCTGATTTACAATCTTTTTTCAGGACCTCAAGCCAAGTAATGTGGCAGTAAATGAGGACTGTGAGCTGAGGGTAAGACTGACCTTCAGCCTCAATGTGCAAATATTTCACTCTCCTCCACAGTGTGACCCCCATCCCTTAAACAATATATACCTCTTCTACAGATTCTTGATTTTGGATTGGCCAGACAGACAGACGACGAGATGACGGGGTACGTAGCGACCCGCTGGTATCGAGCGCCAGAGATCATGCTGAACTGGATGCACTACAATCAGAATGGTAAGATTCCATCAAGCCCAATCTTTTTAATATTTAAAGACAAAAATTATAAACCAGCGGAATGATTCAACATCTGGTGTTTCTGTTCCAGTTGATATCTGGTCAGTGGGATGCATCATGGGAGAGCTCCTGAAGGGAAAAGTCCTTTTTCCTGGCACTGACTGTATCCTTTATCGGCACGGCGTAGTGTCAACCTTGCATAACCTCTTTAAATGCCCCGTGGATGCAGAGTTCTTTTGGATTTGCATCACCACCCCAGGCCATTCTGAAGGGGAAGTGCCTCAACGGAGACAACTGGGGGATGAATAGAGACAGTTAATAACAGGATGAGCCGGATCTTGTAGCTTGATGACTATTTACAAAATCTTGATGACCCTTGACCCCTCCCTCTCTTAGATATTGACCAGCTGAAGCGAATCATGGAGGTGGTCGGGACTCCGACACCTGACCTGTTAAAGAAGATCTGCTCTGAACACGTAAGTCAGGACAGAATGAAAAGAAGGGTGATTGGAAACACTGGTTAAACAAGAGTGTGAAGAAGAAGGCATTACGCAAAGACTGTATTCTCCTCTGAGAAGGCTGTTGAGTAAATAGTCAATATGTGTGAGTGTTGGGGTGATTGATCGCTGACATCAGATGATGCACATTGTCATTGTCTGGTCTCTATTTACAGGCTCAGAAGTACATCCAGTCTCTGCCCTTCATGCCCCAGCAGGACCTGGAAAAGATCTTTAGAGGAGCAAATCCACTAGGTGGGTGCTGCTCCACAGATTGGATTATCCAACTCTTAAATCCAATTGCAAGGCTTATTACAGAGACTATTAAAGCTCGAGTTGCTCACTCCACATTATAAATGAGGAATTCAGTTACGCAGGTTTGGCCTCAGCCCTCTGTCACCAGTCTGCCCTGTGTCTGTCTCTCTGTTAGCTGTCGATCTAATGAAGCGTATGCTGGTTCTGGACTGTGACGGGAGGATCTCGGCCAGCGAGGCTCTGTCACACCCGTACTTCTCCCAGTACCATGATCCAGACGACGAGCCAGAGGCGCCGCTTTACGATCAAACACTGGAGAGCAAAGACCGAACTCTAGAGGAATGGAAAGGTAACATTTGATTTGGAAGTTTCACAATAAATCAGAGGTTACCAATAAGCAGGCAATGGTCCAGATCTGGACCTATAACCAATAAATCATTGAGAATTGTCAAATTTTGCTTCTCTATTTTAACTGATTCCGCTTTTCTAGCCTTTTCGGCAATGGTTTAGCAGCCAGGGGAAGACTCATAGACCGATGGTATGCATTGTAAATCACCACTCAGCCAATCAAATCTGTGAATTCTGATTTCAGAACAGTTAGACAGATGAGAGGAGGACGCATCAAAAGTTATATGTGAGTCAGGGAAAATAAAAAAAAATGCTTTTACTTGCTGTATTCTAAGAAAAAGAGTAAACAGCAAAAACAATTATTCTCACCAAACAAAGAATATAAGAGGAGAAGAGAGAAAGAGAAGAGCAGGTGTTCAAGCTGCTAAATTGGGAAGATGTTGAGATTGAAAATAAGTTAACTACTAAGAGAAAAAGTGAAACTTAATTAAAATAAAAATCTAAAATCAAGCGCTTTGTTTTAAGATGCAATTTAAATTTAAAAAAGCTTTCTGTTGTGTATTTATTTATGAGAAAAGAAAATGTATTTCTTATTTGAGGAATTTGTTCACATTATGCTTAACAGTCAGTTGTTGACACACAGACACTGATTATATTTCGACTGAATCTTCTGTAAACTAAATAAATATTATGATGTTCTTGACCTTTACTTGAGGCAGTTATCTCTATCTGGAGGAGATGGATTAAAATTGACCTTTGATTGTAAAACACAGCAGGTTCCACTGAAGTACTTGATAGACAAGACTTAGAACTATGATGTGAATGGAGCATATTCACAGGATTTCCAAATGTGCAGCTGTTGTCTACATCTCCATGTCTTTTTCGATTTAATGCTCTCACTTCCTTTTATAAACATTTTAGGTGGGGCTGAGTTAGATTCACATCAGCTTGACGCCACAGAGCTAAAGTGAACTTGAAGCTGCAGAGTGCTTCACCTTGGGGATTTTGCAATGTTGAGTTTAAGCTGACTTTACCACTGATGTAATGTGGCGGTAAAAATATTCAGCAATGTCCTTTGCAACATCACAAATATGATTCAGTTCAGCAGGGAGCCTTATGGTTTGTGTATTTCCCCAGAGGTGATGTGAGTCATGGTGGATCATTTTGCATCTTAATTTTGAGTTTCTTTGATAGTCTTGTATACCAAGCTGAATAAGCACAATTATAATAGCACTGAATACATTTTGCACCAGAACTACGTTGGTTTCACATTAAAGTAGCCTGCATTTTTATGCCAAAGGTGCATGGTAATACTTTTGTATTTTAAATTGAATATTTCTATCTCCTACCATTCCTAATTTCACCTTGATTCTTTCACGTGCATGTGTGTAGAATTGGTATTCGAAGAGGTGAGCAGCTTCAAAGCATCCGGCAGCAAAACTGACAGCCTTCAGGTGGAGCAGTAAACCTCCCCCTGCTCTGCCTCTACCTGGATTGGAGCCGTGTACTCGGTGGGTAAGAGAAAAAGGACTGTGGCAAAAAAAACTCCCCCCTGCTCAGTGTGACTGTGTTTGATTGCCCTTGAGTGTGTTTGAGCAGCAGGGAAGGACAGTCTTCACAGGATCAGACGACACACATTAAAATTTACCGGAGGCATTTAAGGACAAGGAAGGATCTCTTCAGTTCAGAAAGTTGACTTCTCTTATGTTTCCACTGGACGAGCGCAAAAAAAGGAACAGCTCGACTAGACTACAACAGGGACCACTGAGGACGCAAGGGTTCATACGAGGGGTTGACTTTAAGGAACTGAGTTGTTTTTACAAACGGAAAGAAGGCTATTGAAGGACGAAAGAAGAAACGCACACTAGGCACTAGGATTTCCAAAGCAAAGACTGAGAAAAAACAAACTCCCTCTGGTCCCATATCATGACAAGTACATGTATGAAATCCATGTTTAAACGCTTTCAGCAGTGTCACGTCATATCACAGAACAGCTTCAGCCTGCATACTACTGCATGATTTATGTGCATTTTATTATTACAGAATATTACCGGTACTGTACTATAACCATTAAGACTGTGTATTGCATCTGCTACACTGGCATTAAACCAGTATGAGGGTCAGAGAGAGGCATTACCAGTGAGGTGTCCAACTTTCAACTTTTACTTTCAACCCGGTCAAAGACGCAAACAAAGCGCTGCTGTTCTTCCCCCGATGACACTCATCCTCTTCTGCTCACAGACAAGTGAACACCAACTGTGCGATTAATTAGCAAGGTCATCAATATATGCCAAAGCTGGAATGGAGTGACTGTTGCTGCAGGTCTGTGTTTACAGTGTGACCTCGCCTCGCCTCACTTGTTGGGCCGAGGCGCCGTGCCGTCAGGTTTCCATCGTTCTCCACCGTGTCTTTCACAGCCATGGGTTGAGTTTACAGTAATTACGATTACAGGCCTTTTGTAAACTGTGAGAAACAGTGTCCAGAATGTGTGTAGCAGAGCTGGAGAAAAAATATATCAAAACGTGTAGCTCCGTCCAAGAAATGACTCAACAACTGCTCTGAGGATTCACAGAAAGTAGCCAGGGAGCTCTTTAGTGATGCTTCATGTCTCCTCAGCCTCCTTTGAGTTTTCACGATGCCTGAGTATTATGACGATTGTACACATCCATTATTGACCATAGTATTAAATCATCTGGCTGTGTTCTCATTTGTGGGTATGTCAATGTAGCTGCAGTTCAGAGCCTTTTGCAAGATTGAGCGACTTCCCCACTGACACTGAGTCATTCATGTCGCAACAAACTGTTTTAGAGTTTTAGTTTGACGCACGATTAGCTGAGGTAGAAATAATCTGATTAAGTGTTAAACCACAAAGCACAGTGATGGTAGCTAACCAGTGAAGGTCAGTAGAAAATGTCAAGAGGAAACGAGAAGTCTAACCCAACTTTTCTGTGTCATAGTTAAATGCATCAAACTACATCCTGTAATTTAACTGTCAGCTGCTGTTTAGTGCAGCACCACAACGGCTTACTAAGCATGGAAGACACAAAATGTCCTCTGAGGTTAAAGCAGATCGAGATATGGGATAAGCAACAGGACAAGATGTCAAGTTGAAGCTTCATTAACTGAAGCCAGCTGACATTTCCAGAGCTGAAAGGGCCATAAATCAGGATCAGGAATAAATCTGATATATTATTATATTGTATCCGGATGCTCCAGATGTTCTTAAAGCTACACTGTGCAGTTCTCAGACAAGTTGGATATAGACATTTGTCAAAAGTTGCTCTTTAGGTTCGTGAAAAGATTTTATTTCTACTTGGAATCTGCTGTTAGGGATATGTGAACAAACAGGTTAGTAACATTGAGTTTGCAATAACAAAGTATTACTCTGACATGTGTGCAATGTTTTTAGCGTCCTTTCAACAAAAATTTGCGCAAAGCAGAGTAAACCCCATTTATTCATTAGTCAGATTAATGGTTTGAATGAGTGAGTCATCTGCTGAACGACAAATAAGTAAAAAATGACAGATACTGTGGGACCATTTATGATTAATGGAATTTAAGCACATTCAGTCTAAAATAGTAGTAAATATATATGTGACGCTCATTATCATTCTCAACTTCTGCAGATATATATTCTTAAACTTAATCTAAACAGACTCAATGATTTGCTAGATTTGTTTAACTGACCTTTTAATGCCAAGTAGCATTAGAAGTCTTATTTAATGTGTATTTGTTGTTGCTTTATTGTCATGTGAGGAAAAAATGTGATGCTGTGGTTCAACCCAATTCGATTATTTCTACCTGGAAAATATAAATACAGCTGCAAAATTGTTTTACTGCTTTGGCATAATTTTAAAGAAACACAAGAGAGACATTCTAAAGTATTTTTCCTTAGTGGGTCACGCTGGAGGTGCACATGTAGCCTTTTGTGCGAGTTGTCCGTCAACACTGGAAGCGAAATGTTGAATTTACAGTCCAAATGAATTGAAGCTGTCTTAGTCGAAGCGTGTTAGAACTCTGAATGTTCAAGCGTTACGTGCTTACGTGTTGTACATGTGATGGATTTGAATAGCAAACTGCAAACCGAATGTATATGTATACTGTATGTATGTGTGTGTGTTACAACTTCCAAGTGTCTTTTGAATACGTGTTGGCATGTGATTCCGCTGTAGCCATAAGTTTTCACCAAACTGAATGTGCGCTCTCAGATTTTTAAAACATTTCGGATGATTTTCTCATTCATCATTAACGGGTAACGTCACTTGGCAAGTCTTGGCTTCAACAGAATAAACATCATAATTTCTGTTTGTCAGTATATTGTTGTTTTTTAGTTCTGCATGCATTCTACATGCATGGCCCCAGTATAAATAGCATATTTTAAGTTTCACAGTATTAAAAGCAAAATTGATATATTATCATGTATGACAGCATCTGTAGGTTTTGCTATTGGAGTTGGAGCTGGTTTGAACTACTTTATATACAGTTTTATATACATAGACTTCTTCTGTCAAAGACATGTAGTGTAGTAGAATCTGGAATGTTTCCCTTTAAAATGTAATGGATGTACTCGGTACCAGTTTCACTTGGCTGTAAACATTGTGATACATAAAATATATAATTAAAAAATTCATAATGATCTGTGATGATCAGTGTAATATTAACTCTGGATGAATATGATAGAAAATTGTGCCTAAAACAAATAGTATATGTTGTAATGTATATTCGAGGGGTGGGCTCTTACTGCGGTGTAATTGAAGGTGGCCAGATGTTTGGTCTGTTGGTGTTTTTTTCCGCACATTGTAGACACACCCACAGATTGCCCTGGGCGACCAGTGTGTCTGTGTGTGTCTGTGTGTTGGGGGAAAGCCTGTGTGTCTCACAAGTGGTCGACTGGTTCCTCTAGAGGAATTTTACGCACGCACCAAACTTCCTGCTGCGGGACGGACTGCGCGTCTCGGGCTTTTGCTGAAGTGAAAGTAGATAAAATAACATATATTTCCTCACATGAACGGACCGGACCAGTGAGGTAGAGCGGACCCACATCCTGACCTCAGCCGAGTTGAGTGTGAGCAGGTCGGGTTATGGCTGTGCGCTCCAGGACGGGGTACTACCGGCAGGAGGTGAACAGGACAGTGTGGGAGGTTCCGGAGAGGTACCGGGACCTGAAGCAGGTCGGGACAGGAGCTTATGGAACAGTGAGGTGAGTAAACCCCCCCTCTGCAGCCCAGAGGTTGATTGACTGCATATTGTTTATAGGAGCTGTTTGAGAGCCAGGGTTTATGTAATGCGTAACAGCACCTTTACCAAATGGATCCTCATCCAAAACCAGCTCTTCCTGGTCGCTGAGAGATAAACTACTGAAAGCTCAGTGTGGAAATAACGGCTCTTATTGCATCTGTCTCCTGTAGAAAACGAAAGCGTTTACATTTTTTTTTAAATTTCCTGGTTCAATTTACATCCTCAAAACATCGTCCAAGAAACAAACAACTTTCATAGAATTGAACTATAATAATAATTTTCCATCCATGCAACATTTAAATTTCATCTATGTGCAATACCTTTACGCTGCATATATTTTGTTGACATTGTACTAGTTCACATTTTGTATAGTTCCTTGTGTTTATATTGTATTCTTTAATTTGTTTGTTGCCCTTACTGAGTTGGATTTTTGGATTCCTTCTTTGTAACAAGGCATCGTGGGACTAAAAAAAACATTATCTTGAATCTTTTCGTGTTTCTAAACCTAAACTCAACTAAAAAACTTACCACTTTGCATGCACCACTTTTACTATATTTTAGTATTGTATAGCACTGCCTGTGTGATGGGGTATGTTGGTCTCTCCACAGCTGGCTCTGCAGGGCCTCTCTTTGCATTGTGTTGTGTGGATGAGGGCGAACAAAGAAAACCACCCCCAGTCTCATTGTTAGAAAGTCAAAGACCCCCGAGTTAAGAGCATAGAACGCACCACTATTTTGTCTTCAATCAAAAAAGGGCCTTTTCTTTCCCTCCACACAGCAGTCACAGTGACTGGCCGTCGCAGGAAAGACTCAGTTATACTTAATAACATTAATGATGGCTCCATTTAAGGTGTCCCCCCTTGTTATTAACCACATATGTGGACGTCCTGATTAACACCACAGAGAAAATAGGCCACTGGAGCTTAGGTTTACTGCAGAATGAGTATTTTTCAGAATAAAACTTAACCAAACCTTCCTGCATAATAAGGATCTGTCTGTTTCAGTTCGGCATGGGACCGCCGCACAGGGGCTCAGGTGGCCATCAAAAAACTGCACCGGCCCTTCCAGTCCAAGCTTTTCGCCAAACGGGCGTACAGAGAGCTGCGACTACTCAAACACATGAAGCATGAAAATGTAAGAAAAGCTCTTAAGGGAAATAAGAAAACAGGAAATTACAACATTTGATTTCAAAAAAACATCCTGTCTTGTGGTTTCCTGCACTCTATGCTAATCAGATATCATTTGGGATTTTATTTTTTTCACCGAGCAGGTGATTGGACTGCTGGATGTTTTCACTGCAGAGATCTCATTGGACCGGCTTCGAGATTTGTGAGTTCCCCTGCCTCCTCCCAAACACCCACTTTGAAAGCAGTCAGAGCGATTATTGGCAGATGACACTCCCGTTCTCTCCTCTCCTCCACAGTTACCTGGTGATGCCGTTCATGGGCACTGACCTCGGCAAGCTGATGAAGCTGGAGAGGTTGTCCGAGGACAGAGTGCAGTTCCTCGTCTATCAGATGATGAGAGGACTCAAGGTGAATGATTTACTGGCCTCCACACAGCCGCTGTTCACAGTGTAAATACAGTTTAAAGAAAACGTTGATGCTCCTGTGTTGGTTTCAGTGAGTTGAGCTGAACTTGCTGACGTTCTCTGTCCTCTCTCTCTCACTCCTCAGTATATCCACTCCGCAGGGATCATCCACAGGGTGCGTGAACTTTGACCTTTCAGACTATGAGCTCTAGGGGGCAGGGGGTTCTTGCTCATTTTCACACCCAATTCCATTCATCCGGATTTCCACAAAGGGAGCTTTACTCTGTGTGCGTGCTTGTGTGTGTGTGTGTGTGTGTGTGAGAACAGAACTAACCTCTGTCTGTTAAGTTTTATTATGGAAACATCCCAGATGTCTCAGCCTCTTTCTTCAACTTTAGCCTTCAGTCAGCACTGATAGAAATTGTAGGAATTAGTTTGGAAATATGAACTAGTTATGTTGACGTTGCACAGTGGGGTTTAGTTTGTTGTTTTCAGCTTTAAATCTTTTTTGACCTATTTGCTTAATGTATTAATATTGTCATTATTTCCTTTCTCTCACACCTTAGGACCTTAAACCTGGAAATTTAGCTATTAACCCGGACTGTGAGTTAAAGGTACCCCAACTCAAAATATCTTGACGTGTGTTTTCTACATATTTTTACGTTTTCCTGTTCAAGCTGTTGTTTTCTGTCTGATTAAGATTCTTGACTTTGGCCTGGCGAGGCAGGCTGACGCTGAGATGACCGGCTACGTTGTGACACGCTGGTACAGAGCGCCGGAGGTCATACTGAACTGGATGCACTACACGCAAACAGGTACACTCTCGTGTGTCGACAGGGAAGCGAATGAAATAAAATAAGAATACAAGATGAATGGTTAAAGCTGATGTTAGTTCTCTGTTGCAGTTGATATCTGGTCTGCAGGTTGCATCATGGCAGAGATGCTGCTGGGAAAGCCGTTGTTCAAGGGAAGCGATCGTATCCTTCACAAACGATGTCTGATCTGATATATCATGACGGTGTTGGCGTTTATGTTTTTGACGATGTGAAAACTTTTATTTTATAACAATACAGAAAAAACATGCATTTATATTTGTATTGTA